TCTTTTTCTACTCTTATTGCATTTTCTGTCTTATATGGCTTGCTTTTATTAATTTTGAGGCTTACCATCGTCGGTGCTTCCTGGCTAACGAGCTGAACGTTTCCACATGCACTCGCTGCAAGATGATTCAAGATTTTCTTAAACCCTCTCCGGGTCTCGCATATTGTGCGTTGTTAACTAAAATATAATTCATGAAACTTACCTCCGACTTTTTTTTATACTAGCCAACCACTTTTTAAGCACACCAAATTTGATTTAAATTTCGGTGGCACGAATACATTTTCTGATTTGTGCAAATAAAAGCGTGCATTGGCTTGTTTACCTACATTTTAACTTCATAACATCAATGAGGTTGTGGTTTGAACAATATATATATTTTTTCCAAAATTAGATGATTAATCTCCCTGCAAGTTTATTAAACATGCCTGTTCTGTACGTTTTTCAAATTCTCACCTGCTACATTTCTGGCTGTTGAATCTGTTGCAAAAATGGGTTTTTAGCATAGTGCCCAACTATCTCCATTTTATTGACCTGAAATCTGACTTCTATGGTCGGAGCTGAAAGCCCCATTAAGTTTAATTCGCAGTGAATGGGAATTCTCACATTGTATTTGACTTGCCCCCTACTTTTTTTTAGCTGTAAGAGGGGTCTAATTTGACCCGTTTTCAAACCATCCAATCATAAATTTATCTACCCTAAAATGATGCAACGCCTAATGACCCCTGGATTATGCCTGCACTCTACAAAAACCTCCATTATCCATTTTTCAACCAGGATGGTCGTTGCCTGAGCGATTTGCAATCTTGGTTGCCTTGGTTTGTAGGGTTAATCTGGTTTCCCACACTACCTTAACCCAACTGCATCTGTTGCTATGACCCGTGTAGGTCGACTGCAGCCAAGTCCCTGGATCGTCTATTTGAGCTTTTGCTTATTCGTGGAAAGAAAAGGTATTTGTACTACTGCCCCCTGCAACGTGACACGTGCAGCCCTCTTGCATTGCCCCACCTCTGGATGGTCTACTGTGGCTGTGTGGATCGAGGGTTTTGGAATGGATCATACTGCATATCCTGCAGTTTGATGTAGGGAGAAAGTAACTTGAATTAAGTTGATACCCCCGGCCACCAATAATGCCCCACAGTTTAATGAGCACGCACACTTGTGCTTGAAAAACTAATTAATTGATCAGCAGCGAGTTCATTGTGTAGCGCAGGTTTTGCTGTAATTATTTCCACAAAAATGTAAATCTAAAACGGCATTTTGACTAGGATTAGGTTTGCTTATTTTGCGTACTTTCCAAAGATTTAAACCATTAATTTCTATAAAACATGTAAAATGGCTATTGCCCACTATTTCAGCCCTTCCAAAATTTGACTGTCCAAATGTTTATGACACGAATGGTACTGAACTGGAGTAATGCTACTATTTTATTATACTGATGCAGCCGTACTGGTTGGGCTTTAACCTTGCTTACAATGCTCACCCTTGCATCTGTCTCGTCCAGGTTGACATAATGTCGTACCCACTTACGCTGCACATCATTGGAGGCCAAGGTGGAAATGCGTTCTCGTTTGATGGGAGGAGCAATGCGGCCACGCTGCAGAAACTCTCCGTGAGCGTTGGAGGCTGGCAAGTGAGGGGCGTGGAGGTGTGGCTGACTGACGGGCGAAGGCAGAAATTCGGCACCGTCGACTCCTCTGCTCAGCAGTTTGAATTCCAGTCGGGCGAGTTCATGTCGCAGCTCTCCCTGTGGGGCAATGGGGCCGGCACGCGTCTGGGTGCCATCAAGTTCAGAACGAGCCGCAACCGCGAGTTCTTTGCCAAGATGACGGACTGGGGGCTCAAGACCGAGTACAAGATCGACGTGGGCTCCGGCGTCTGCTTGGGCGTTCAGGGCCGAGCGGGGGCCGACATCGACTGCATGGGCTTCCTTTTCATCAATGCTATAAAGTCGTCGGTGATCCAGAACATGAAGTACCCAACTATGCACCAGGTTCTCCCCAACGTGCAGATGGAGGAGATTAAAGAAATGGAGTACATAAACGACACGAGCGTCGTGCAGTCTCACAGCTTCCAGAGCTCCAAGACAATTACCAAAAAGTCATCGTGGTCTACAACGAACAAGATTGAGTCTACATTCAGCCTTAAAGTCTCGGCAGGCATCCCGGAGGTCGTGGAGGTGGAGGCTGGGTTCAGCTTCACCTTGAGCTCTGAGACCACGCACGCATTGGAGGAATCTGAGGAGCGGAAAGAAACTCTCACGTTCCCCGTCTCTGTTCCTCCACACAAGACCGTCACCGTTGTCGCTAAAATCGGGCGTGCAAACATCGACCTCCCGTACACGGCTCTGCTGCGCATCACCTGCATGAACGGCGCTCTCTTTGACGTTCCCCTGAGTGGCGTCTACAAGGGGCTCACCTACACCAAGATGACCGCCCGTGCTACTGAGAAATAGAGCAGCATTTTGTGACCTGTTTGATCAAATGTTCTGAAAGAATAATTGTGGCTGACTACGAATAAAAGCCTTCTGCATTGCACTGCAATTTTCTCCTTGAATTTTTGTGCGTTGCATGTAAGCACCTTACATTTTTACTAGGATTGTTTATGGCTGTGGCTATTTCACCATTTGTTGTGGTTGACGGCTTATTTTGTCGTTCCATTGGGCTTTCATAACCTCTATTCCCCATTTGCATGGTTCTTGAAATGCTGAGTCGGTGGCATGGTATTTTCCACGAGAATTTAGCGTTGTAAAACGACCATGCAATGCACCACTTAAATTAGGAATATTTGCAGATGGCCAATACATTCCTAAACAGCTGCCTGCCATCATGCCCTGCTGGTGGATAACGCTGAAGCTTTAATGAAAATGTCCGTCCAAGCATTGACAAAGACTTGGCACAAAGCACACTTCAATCTTGCTCCCAGGCAGCAATGCACTGTTTTGGTTCATCTGACTCCCAGACCACAGGTACGCCATCAAACCCCGTAATATCGACGTGCTGGTATCACTATTGCCCCCACCCACACGGATTTTATTTTTTCATCAAAATTCCCGTCCAGTAGTCTCGACTGGAAATTGAATCGCTTGCCTGCCTATTCTGAGATTGAAACGTGTGGCCTAGCCATATCGCCCATTTATCCGAGGTAAATCCTAACCCAGCAACATTCACCAGGATGAACGACTTGGAATATTTCAGTGAGTTTATATGCACCATTTATTAGTTACCTAGCCACACTGGTTACACCAACAATCCCACGGTTGTGCTTGCTGCTATGTCGTGCAACTGAGCCCGCAAACGAACAAGTGACTTAACATTGTTATTGTGGTTTATTATACGTAATATTGACATCGATCCCTGTACCAAACTCCGAGAAATGAAGGCAGGGGATTGGTGGCTGGGATTGAGGAGACGTATGACGAGGCGGATATAGGGAGGGGCTGTCGACAATGAGTGAAGAGCGAGCTGTGGATGTAGAAAACTTGACATGAAAGAGTGAAGCTGCGTGTGATGTAGGTGGAAAAGGGGACTGGAACCCTTCACCATCTGAGTGTTGGTGTGAATGTCCGCTCCACCCCCATTAAGACTGGAAACCATCAAGCAATTGTTATGGTATCGCAATAATACAGTGACATAAAGTAAAATTCTGATGAAGAAATTAAACCAGACATGAACGTATGTTTAATCTGTTACGTCTATTAAATACATGCAAGATGGTCTCGCCTTTCACACGTCCTCATTACGTAGTTTTGGCTCATGTCATTCCATTTAACGGTGTTTGCCGTCAATCACATTAACTCAGAATGAAAAGTTTATTTTTAGATGAGAATGCATTGACTCCGAAGCTCATTTTCAAAGGAGACCCGGCCAGCAGACGAATCAAAGAATCCCACAATTGACCAAATTAGTTACAAAAGTATATTTAGAGGCACGTTCAGTACAAAGGTCATAACTCTATAAGGCACTTATAAACAATAAGAATTACAAGACGGTGATGGTAGTGAGGCTAATTTGACATTTTACGTGTGGGCCATGTTAAAAACAAAACAACTTTAAAATCAAACTTGATTTGAAGCTTTCGTGACTGCAGGAATAACTTTTCGGTTGTTTCGGTAAAGTCACGTAGAAAGAAATTAAATGAAATAACAAAATACGACTTTTCGATTGCAACAAGCAATCATCATCAGGTCGAACTAAATTTGAGAGAGAGAAAAAACACAGACACGGAGACACAGACAGACACAAGCAGAGAGAAACAGAGCTCTGTGTGTCTATGTTGTCTGTCTCTGTGTGTCTCTGTTGTCTCATTCTGCTTGTGTGTCTCTTTGTGTGTCTCCGTGTCTGTTTTTAGTCTCTCTCACAAATTTAGTTCTACCTGATGACGATTGCTTGTGTTGCAATTGAAACGTCCTCTTCTATTATTAAATTATTTTCTTTCTATATGACTTTACCGGAAGAACCAAAGAGTAACTTTAAAATCACTGGAATACGCAACTCAATTTACTCTCACGGCCTGGTATCGGGACCGTTGATTGCATTAACGAGGCGCGTGCCAGTTGCTCAGCTCATGAACGGCACCTCACACAATGGGCGTGCGTGCACAGAACTGCCACCCGAACATTGAGCGAATCCTCGCTGTGATTGGCTCCTGATGATTGGCCTGGAAGGGAAGATGGGCAGAGGCACGCGCGCGTAATTATGTCACGTGATGTGAGCTTCCTCAATGGACTCTCAACAGACTCATATGGGGGCTGTGATTGCGTCTATGAGGCGCTATCGCGCGTGGCTCATCTCGTTAACGGAGTCTCACGCAAACTGGGAACGCGTGGAGAAAGCGCACCAATCCAATTGGTGAATCATCGTGCTGATTGGCTTGCGATGATTGCCTTCTCCCTCCGACCCCCCATGATTGGCCACGGATGGGAAGGCAAACCCACGTGATTGTACCACGTGACGTGCGCTCCCTCGATATAAAGGAGGGAGCGAGCAGCACACAACAGCTGCTTGTTATGGGGTGGACTGCTTAGGTAAGTGGTGAGGTGGGCTCGCAGTTTGCGTGAGGAGTTGCTGTTTGCCTTTTCAGACCATGTTGGGCGCGTGTTGGTTGTCTTTTTTTATTATATGGGATTTTTCTGTCTCTTATATGGCGTTTATTTATTCATCTTTGAGGCTTACTATCTTCGGTGCTTTTTAGCTAACGAGCTAAACGTTTCTCCATGCACTTGCTGCATGACGATTCAAGATTTTCTTAGAAACCCTCTCCGGGTCCAGCACATTGTGCGTTTTAACTGAAATATAAGTTATGAAACTTGTCCTTTCGACATGTTTCTTTTATGCAAGCCAACCACTTGAAGCGCACCAAATTTGATTTTAATTTCGGTGTCAAGAATACATTTTCTCTTTAGTGCACTTAAAAGCGTGCATTGGCTGTTCTGTACGTTTTTCAAATTTTCACCTGCTGCAATTCTGGCTGTTCAATCTTTAATGTCGCAAAAAATGGGTTCTTAGCGTAGTGCCGAACTACTTTGGTTTCATTGACCTGAAATCTGACGGTTGTATGGTCGGAGCTGAAAGCACCTTTTAAGTTTAATTCTCCAGTGAATGGGAATTCTCACGTTGTATTTGTCTTGCCCCCTAATTTTTTAGAATTTAGAGGGGTCTAATGTGCCCCCTTTTTCAAGCCGTCCGATCAGAAAAGTCTCCACCGTAAAATGATGCAACGCCTAATGACCCCTGGATTATGCCTGCACTCTAAAAAACCTCCTTTATCGATTTTTCAACCAGGATGGTCGTTGCCTGAGCTATTTGCAATCTTGGTTGCCTTGGCTTGTAGGGTTAATCTGGTTTCCCACACTACCTTAACCCAACTGCTTCTGTTACTATGAACTGTGTAGGTCGACTGCAGCAAAGTCCCTGGATCGTCTATTCGAGCTTTTGCTTATTCTTGGAAAGAAAAAAGGTATTTGTGCTACCGCTCCCTGCAACGTGACACGTGCAGCCCTCTTGCATTGCCCCACCTCTGGATGGTCTACTGTGGCTGTGTGGCTCGAGGGTTGTGGAATGGACCATGCTCTATATCCTGCAGTTTGATGTAGGGAGAAAAAGTAAATTGAATTAAGTTTTGATACTCCCGGCCACCAATAATGCCCCGCAGTTTCATGAGCACGCACACGTGTCCGTGAAAAACTAATTATTAATTGATCAGCGGCGAATTCATTGTGTATCGCCATTTTTGCTGAAATTATTATTTTCACAAATTTAAATCTTAAAAGGTATTTTGACTAGGATTAGGTTTGCTTATTTTGCGTACTTTCCAAAGATTTAAATCGTTCATTTACTTTCATAAAACATGTAAAATGGCTATTGCCCACTATTTTCAGCCCTTACAAAATTTGACTATCCAAATGTTTGACACGAATGGTACTGAACTGGAGTAATGCTACTATTTTATTATACTAAGGCAGCCGTACTGGTTGGGCTTTAACCTTGCTTACCATGCTCACCCTTGCTTCTGTCTTCCAGGTTGACATAATGTCGTACCCACTTGCGCTGCACATCATTGGAGGACAAGGTGGAAATGCGTTCTCGTTTGATGGGAGGAGCAACGCGGCCACGCTGCAGAAACTCTCCGTGAGCGTTGGAGGCTGGCAAGTGAGGGGCGTGGAGGTGTGGCTGACTGACGGGCGAAGACAGAAATTCGGCACCGTGGACTCCTCTGCTCAGCAGTTTGAATTCCAGTCGGGCGAGTTCATGTCGCAGCTCTCCCTGTGGGGCAATGGGGCCGGCACGCGTCTGGGTGCCATCAAGTTCAGAACGAGCCGCAACCGCGAGTTCTTTGCCAAGATGACGGACTGGGGGCTCAAGACCGAGTACAAGATCGACGTGGGCTCCGGCGTCTGCTTGGGCGTTCAGGGCCGAGCGGGGGCCGACATCGACTGCATGGGCTTCCTGTTCATCAATGCCATAAAGTCGTCGGTGATCCAGAACATGAAGTACCCAACTATGCACCAGGTTCTCCCCAACGTGCAGATGGAGGAGATTAAAGAAATGGAGTACATAAACGACACGAGCGTCGTGCAGTCTCACAGCTTCCAGAGCTCCAAGACAATTACCAAAAAGTCATCGTGGTCTACAACGAACAAGATTGAGTCTACCTTCAGCCTTAAAGTCTCGGCAGGCATCCCGGAGGTCGTGGAGGTGGAGGCTGGGTTCAGCTTCACCGTGAGCTCTGAGACCACGCACGCATTGGAGAACTCGGAGGAGCGGACGGAAACTCTCACGTTCCCCGTCTCTGTTCCTCCGCACAAGACCGTCACCGTTGTCGCCAACATCGGGCGTGCAAACATCGACCTCCCGTACACGGCTCTGCTGCGCATCACCTGCATGAACGGCGCTCTCTTTGACGTTCCCCTGAGTGGCGTCTACAAGGGGCTCACCTACACCAAGATGACCGCCCGTGCTACTGAGAAATAGAACAGCATTTTTGTGCCCCGTTTGATCAAATGTTTTCTCTGAATAAAAAAAATCCTCCTGCAATGCATTTTTATTTCCGTGTTTTGGTTGCATGTAAGGAATTTACATGTTTTGCTTTTCCCATTTCGTTTTATGGGTTCACAAACTTGGGCATTTTACCTTTCATGTGGATGTCAACAGGACTTATTTTCCATTCTACCTGAGCTTCACTTGCGTGATTCCCCATTTATTTAAACAACTGGTTGATGGCATATACTTCCACTAGATTTCAGCATTGTCAAACGACCGTGCTATGGGATTTAATTTGAAGATGGCCAGTACATCCAGTCATGGCTGCTTTATCCTCCACAGCTGTTGACTATCTAGTTTGGCTTGAACAGGAACGTCACTGTCCATTTAAGAGCTGCTGCTCGTTTTATTGCTCCTGGGGGGGTAGGGGGCTGAATGCGTCAATTGCAAAATTATGTAGGGCAGCGGTTTCCATAATCTAGCAACAATATTGCGCTGTTTTTAACGAAAGTAACTGCTCGTGCTAATGATTGAATAAGCCTCGAAGGCACGTATAATGCATGGAACTCTCCCTTTCAAAATTGCCACAGCATTTAACACCTACACAAGTAACCAGTTGCCTATCCTGGAAAAACAATTGTCAGCATCTCGGCTGGAATTGCACTTCGTTGGAGCTTAAACGTGATTCCATTAAAAAAAAATGGCTGCATTGGCATGGTCGTGACCAGGGGCATGTCAATCGAAATTTCAATTCTTAACCTTTCTCAGTTTAGGAATTAACTCAAGTGACCAGGGTATTGACCCTGTGACTGCGATTGTTATCACGAACATTTATCAAGTTGGTTATGATGAATAAAAGGTTTGGTAGAGCTGCGTTGTTTTCCTTAGCTCTGCTGCGTGATCATCCTTGTCAACTGACACCTCTCTCCAAACACCGGCCACGTCCACATCAGACCTTTTAGATGTTGTCGAGGGTCCAAAATGACGTTGTTTTAGTCGTCTGGCTCGCAGCACACGGGTACGCCAATGGACCCCTGTAATATCAACGTGCTGGCGTCATGAGTGGCCCCCCCCAATGCAGATTTCCCTCCCCAAAATCCGTCCAGTGGTCACGTGACTGGCAATTGAATCACGTGCCTGCCTATCCTGAGGACGAAGGACGTGGCCCATTTATCCGAGCAACATTCACAGTTTAAATGCCACTAATATTGCAGTGTGAATATATGCACCATTAATTTATTACGCAACCACACTGGCTACATTATCAATCCTATCGTTATTGTATGGTTTGTATGGTTTATTATAACTAACATTGACATCAATCCCTGTACCAAGTTGGCAGGGCGTAACACCGAAATGTGAAGGCAGGGGATTGGTGGTTGGGAATAAGGAGACACGGACGAGGGGACAATGGGAGGTGGGCCATGGTGGTAAGACGGGACGTCGGCAAGAGTGACGAGAGAAGAGAGCTGTGAATGAAGATATAATGGTATGCAAAGGAGGGAGCTGTGTGTGATGGAGGTGGAATTACGGGACCGGAACCCTTACCTGTCTGCGTGTTGGTGTGAATAATGTCCGCTCCACCCCATTAAAACTGGTAACCATCAATAAGCATTAAAATGGTTTTGAAATAGTACAGTGACATTATGAAGTCATATTCTAATCAATAAATTATACCAGACATGAAGTATGTTTAATTGGTTAAGTCCATCAAATACTTGCAATATGGACACACCTTTCACACATCCTCATTGCTTAGTTTTGGTCCATGTCATTCCATTGAAAGGTATTTGATGTTAGAACACACGTTCTATTAGAATGAAAAGTCTGTTTCCACAGTAAAGCCCAGTGAGCTAGGAAGCAAATTTTCAAAAGAGACCCGGCAAGCAGACAATATCAAAGCATTCCACAATTGTACAAATAAGTTACGATTGAAAGTCATCAGAGGCAGGTACAGTTCAAAGGTTTGTACTCAATAAGGCACTTATTAACACTAGGAATTATAAGAGATAGATCCCATGTTAAACAATACAACTCTCTAAAATCGCTTGAATTCACAACTCAATTCATTCTCACGGCCTCATATCGGGATCGTGACGCCATTATCGAAGTGAGTCTCAGAAGCTCAACTCATAAACGGTAGCTCACACGATGGGTGCGCATGCTGGAACTGCCGTCCATGCAATGAGCGAATCCTCACGCCTATTGGCTCTCGATGATCTGTCTGGAGGGGAATGATGGGCGGAGGCATGCGCGCGTAATTATGCCCCGTGAAGTGAGCTCCCCTCAATGGACTCTCAACAGACTCATATGGGAATCGTGATTGCATTCATGAGATGCCACAGCGCTCGTCGCTCGGCTTATTAACGGGGTCGAAAAAAATAGGCGCGCGTGGAGGAAGCGCCACCCATCCAATTAGTGAATCCGCGCACTGATTGGCTCGCGATTATTGTGGGCCTATTTGCCACTAAATGGCGCAAGCGCAATGGTGGGATTAATAGTGTAACCAGTGTGGTTGTGTTATGAACACATGGTGCACATATTCACACTGCATTATAATTAGTGGCTTTTAAACTTCGTGAATGTTCTTGGGATAAATGGGCCACTCCCAGTAATCTCGGTACAGGGATTGTTGTCAATGTTATTTATAATTAACTGCAATAATAACAAAAGTAATGTTAGGTCCCTTTTTCGTTTGTGGGCTCATTTGCCACTAAATGGCAGAGAGCACAAACGTGGGATTGACAGTGTAACCAGTGCGTTTTTAAATAACTGTAACTATTTTGATTTAAAGCTTTCGTGACTGCAGTAATTCATATTCTTAGCTCTTTCGGTAAAGTCACGTTGAAGGGAAACAATAAAATAATAATATATATAAAACAATAAAAATTCTCACGACGTTTCGACCATAACACAAACGGTCGTCATCAGGTGTGTCGGTTTGCATTAATTAATTTATTTTTATACGGTGTATTTATTTAAAAAAACGTTAGCGCCACGCTCAGCGATTTGGCAGTTTATTTAGAAGGACTAGTCCATCTATGTTCTGAAAATAGGAGGGGGGAGACGAAAAATTAATGTATGCTGTCTGAAAGCCACTGTAAGCGTGAACATACAATTAAGACCTGAAATGGTTAATCAAATCTTTCCAATGATTGCTAAGCCAGAATCCATCTTCTTGGTTGAAAGTGTCTCTGTGCTTGTATATGTGGATAGCCTCATGAACGAATCTCTCATGGTAGCCAGATGGCTTACAAAGAACCTCTGTCTTGGAAAAGTCAATGTCATGTGAGCCTACTGAATTATAACAATGATCTGCCACGGCCGAGGTGTTGGTCCTACCGTGTTTAAGGTCTGCTTTGTGTTCACGAATACGGTCCGAGAAATGGCGTTTGGTTTCTCCAATGTAACTACTACCACAGAGGCAACCTAGTTTGTACACACCAGGGTACTGTATGTCCGGAATCACATCTTTTACAGACGGAACCAGATCACGGATTTTATGTAATGTGTTGAATCGGACCTGGATCTTGTGTTTATTCAAGATTTTGGAGATCTTTTTTGTGATCCCCGCAATGTAGGGTAAAGTGATGGTTTTGAAAGGCTCCTCAAGAGGGTCCTTCTTCATGGTTTGAGTGATAGCTTTACGGATTGTATAGTCGGAGTAACCATTAGCCTTAAGAGCTTGGTGTACGTGCTTGAGTTCACTGTCTATGTGTTCCTGGTCGGATATGCATTGGGCTCTATGGAACAGAGTCTTGATGACAGAATTCGTCTGTGATGGATGGTGGTGGGAATCCGGTTTCAGATAAGCATCCGTATGGGTAGCTTTCCTGTAGACAGAGTGGCTCATTGAACCATCAGGTCTCTTTTTTATTAAGACATCCAAAAAAGGTAGCTTGCCATCTTTTTCCACTTCCATGGTAAATCTGATGGCTGGGTGTATGGAATTGATGTGGTCGAAGAATTGGTCTAGAGCAGGCCGGCCATGTGGCCAGATGACAAAAGTGTCATCCACGTACCTCTTCCATAAGGTTGAGCGCAGAGTGGCAGTCTGGATAGCTATAAACGGAGATAGGGGGGAGCCCATTGGGGTGCCCTCAGTTTGTTTGTAGAAAGTTCCATTCCAAGTGAAGTATGTATTGGTTAAACAGTGTCTCACCAGGGGGGGTACCTCAGTGTTTAGTCTTCAATGGTTGCGATGGTGTCAGGTACAGGAACCTTGGTGAATAAGGAAACTACATCAAAACTGACAAGCAGGTCGTCTGGGGACAGGGAAATACCCTTCATTGTCGATACCAGGTGAGAAGAATTTTGTATTGCAGAGGTGTTTTTTTCAGTGAAAGGACGCAGGATAACAGACAAAAAAACGAGCCAGTTTGTAGGTGGGGGAGTTGATAGTAGAGACGATGGGACGAAGGGGTGTATCTACTTTATGTATTTTGGTAAGCCGTATAATCTTGGTGGCCTGGCAGCAGAAGGTTTCAACGAAAACTGTTTAGATTGATCAATTAATGCAGTTGAATTAGAAATTATTTCGTTGGTTTGTGTGACGAGGCTGTTTGTGGGATCTCTTTTTATTTTTGCATAACTACCATCGTCGAGTAATTCGCATTTACACTGACCTCTGCTGCTGTAACTTCTACTAATGCGAAACTAATTCTTTTCAAAACTAGCTTAGCTCTTATCTCAGAAAAAAACAGACTTATACGCACCGAACTAGATCAGTTAGACAAGACACTCTACAAATCACACTTATCATTGACGGCAACAATGTCCACATCGGATTGGGAACATGTAGACAATATGACTGCCTCTTCAACTGCTACTATGTCGACCAAATGTAAGGACAACCTGATTTCCAAATTTAACCTCCTCTTCAACAAAAGACCGGACCCACACACCAAAAAGTTAGACGTTAACAAAGTCGTAATTAATCGCAGTAACAGTTCTATTTCCGATGGTCTGAAATCTGTTTTAGCTAAAGGTCTAAACTTTGCAGTCACACCTAAACACATACCAGTTAATGATATAATTGCCCAAGTAGACGTTGCTCTCAGGGGCTTGGGTCACATCGCTGCAGACGTAGCAAGATCTGAAATCGCTGCAACCCTAAAAAACGCTACGATGCCAGCTAGCAACCTCAGCAAAGATGAGCGTTTTGAATTATATAAATTAAAAAAGAGGGATTATATTGTAGTCCTCTCAGCTGACAAGGGCAATGCTACTGTCATCATGGATAAAATAGAATACAACAACAAAATTAAAGAATTACTCGACGATGGTAGTTATACAAAAATAAAAAGAGATCCCACCAACAGCCTCGTCACACAAACCAACAAAATAATTTCTAATTCAACGGCATTAATTGATCAATCTAAACAGTTTTCGTTGAAACCTTCTGCTGACAGGCCACCAAGATTATACAGGTTACCAAAAATACATAAAGTAGATACACCCCTTCGTCCCATCGTCTCTACTATCAACTCCCCCACCTACAAACTGGCTCGTTTTTTTGTTTGTCTGAAATCCTGCATCCTTTCACTGAAAAAAACACCTCTGCTGTACAAAATTCTACTCACCTGGTATCGACAATCAAGGGTATTTCCCTGTCCCAAGACGACCTGCTTGTCAGTTTTGATGTAGTTTCCTTATTCACCAAGGTTCCTGTACCTGACACCATCGCAATCATTGAAGACTTGGTT